CCAACCCCAGCGGTATCGACCCCGGGAGGCTCGAACCCACGACCTTTTTGGTTAGAAGTCCAACGCTCTCTCCGTCGAGCCACTAGCCCTCTGTCTTGCCAGTATCGATCGGGAATGTTAACCATTAAGAAGACAACATCGTCTGAATCGACACGGTGTCGCAGTGTTTTCACAATCCTTCAAATACGTGGAACGCGGCTGCTCCGTCGCGGCATTGCAGATCTAGTTTTGTTATCTCAAAAAGCAATGGACAGTTCTCTCTTGCCTCCTATCTCGCAGAGACGACAGTCTGACTGTCCTCTCCGCGCTTTACAACAGCGTTGGCACAGGGACGGTGACTCGTGTTCAATTTAATTTATAATGGAAGGAAACTTTCGTTGTATCTATCACAATCTTTCCTCTCTCACCTGGGCCGGATGTCGATAAGCTCATAATCCCATCTGTTAGGCTTATTGTCCATTATTGAGCTACTGACACAATTATAGTAATTACTAAGCTTCCATGTCTGGTTGATTCTGGAGAAGTTAGCTCCCTATTAGGCGGGAGATGTTCTATAAGTTCTAATTTAGAGCTAGGTACGGTAGGCAGTTAAAGTTAGCGTGAAAACAGCAAATGGTTCTACATTGTGACTTAAAGACATTATAGAACTCGTGCTATTATTAAATAAACGTTTCTTTATCCCTTCACTCTACTGTTTGTCCGATATAGGTTGCTACTGCATATTAGCCTCCAATTTCCAACGTGCACGTATAGGCTGTATTATAGTATACTATTTACTGGTCTTCGTAAGTATGATTACCAGAATTAGCACTCATAGCATTGGCAAATTACTTCTAGCTGCAGCATCCTAGTCCCCGCATTCTAAACTTAGGAGAAACTGACACAGCTTTTGGGAATAGAAAAAAGGGCGGAAACCAGGGCAAGCATTCGTGGAACTTTCCACAGCAGCGCCAAGAAAGGATCCCAGATTGCCCCTGGTTGGACACCAAGTTCACTTTCATATAAGTGACACTGGTTTTCGATCTCAACTTCAGACCATGACGGGCAGATCCGCATAATCCGGAGGCGTTCACAAAATTGGAGTGTATACAGCTGCTTTGAACTCCGTGGTCCAGCCTAAGCCTCTTGGATCGCTTGTCTGAACTTTAATCCTCAGAAGCGGTGGATTCTTGGCCATGCACGACAAAAATCTCAAGATAAACTAACTATCGGGCTGCGCCTTGAGGTATTGGGAATAGACTGGTTGACCAGAAGGCGAAAGTAGCTTATGTATTCCCCTTCACATACCCCTAGTCCCAGAATTTTGTCCTACGAAAACGGTGGGGTGGGGGGTGGGGAAATAGGATAGGCAAAGAAGGAAATTTTTAGAAGTAAGTGTTAAGTAAAAAAATGCAGTCGAAGTTGCTTCCCGCGGCCGCTGGGTGTAAGTTGTTCCGCATGTAAATTGAAGGTGTGCGCGGACTATACTAATCTAACTCCAGAACAGTAAGTTGGACCTCAGGTAAGTTGAAGTAGACAACCTCCTAACCACTATTTCAATTTTCGGGAATGCCAAGAAACCTGCATTTTGATAATCGAGTTTTTCTGCAATACGTTAAACAGTAATACAGATTAGGAAAATCTGCAGATATATAAATCAACAACACTTCTAAATACAGTAAAATTAAAAGGTATTTAGCAGTTATTAAAGTATATTCAACTGAGTGTCCAAATTCCCCACCCATAAAACCCTTTGGCCCCCGTTTTCGTAGGACAACATGCTGGGAGTAGGGATTAATGAGGAGGACTAAATAAGCTACTGTTGCCGACCAGAATAACTGAAACGCGGGCGCAGTTTGAAAGAATGATCACCACCGGTTATATCGAGCGAAGCACCACAAGCAAGGCATTTAAATTACTAAAACACACAAACCAATATCACATATATGGACCACTACCCGCCGTATACTGCCACACATTGTGTGCAGGACAATTGACAAATTGATTGTCTGAGACTGCTTTATTCGGATTTGCAGCCCAGATCCAGTAACAATTCACAAAGGCGTACAGTAACAAAAGTTCGGCATATAAGAATCTTCACAAAGAGAGCGGAAAGTATACACAAAATCGGGAGTGCTCAAAAACGGAACGGGACGGAATACATTTACATTTTCTTGATATCCGCGTTCAAAACGTCCATAACTTCTATCAGTTTGTCCCACTGTTCCACGTTCAATGAAATGCCTGAAATCACAAAAAGGGAGAAGGGAATTAAACAAAAAACAGGCTACTTCAGAAGATCGCGTCCACATTTTTGATATGGGAGTACAAGAACGACGGCCACCGATCTGACCAAAATACGACAATTAGACTGGTTACGAAGTACAATTAGTTAGTATTCTTCCTACCTTGGTGGAAACTGTTTTACTCGGTCGGTTGGTGTTGAGAATGTTACGATTCCCACGATTACTTACCTTACAGAAAGGTCCTGGGTGAAACTCACGCCGCTTTCATGAGAGCTCGCGCCATAGTTATCGATTTTTCGTCATTACCGATTAGTCTCCTGTTGCTGACGCCTGCTCATGGAACGGACCGAATAAATACCCCGCAGCCTTTTTGTAAAAGTGACTTACTTGACGCGTTCTGTGTGAATACACTTCTATTCCTGACCGATTGAATTCTCTTAATCTCTGGTTCGAGCTTTCGGTGCAACAGATGGGCTAACTCAGATTTCGTGCTAATTACAAGCACTTGTACTTGTTACGGCTGTGATTATGCTTGATCTAGCCGGCCTCAATGATGTCACGGACGGTACCTCTCCAAGCGTGACGATTGACGGCAGCGGATCTGGATAGCTCCACACAGTCTCTTCTCCAGCGACGGAGACCGAAGATAGAAGGTCCAAGAACTGCTTCCATGTCTTGACACACGGTGTCGATCCAAGTCAGGTGGGTTGCGGTGCCGGTTCGAGGGCAGCATAGCTAAGCTCATGGGGCGGACGACGGAGAACGCGTACAAACAACCTCAATCGCCTTTCTTGAATGGCCTGAGATATCCTCGCGATACGATAGCAACGGGTACGGACTGTCTCATTCGAGATGAAGTCGTTATATTTAACTTGCAGAATGGTCCCCAGGCATCAGTGGTCAAGTACCAGGCGCGGGTCGCAATAGTTGGTCAACAAGAACTTATCGGTCTGCGAGAATCCGTCAGCCACTGGGGCACAACACATTTAGGGTTGCTAGTTCTGTTTATTCAACTGATTAGAGGCTCAGAAAGCAAGACCTGCAAAATAGAGGTCTCGAATCAGGTCTGCAATAATCAGGAACTTGTCGACGCAAAGGGAAAAAGTGAGATCTGCCCGTTGTAGGACTACAACAAGGGTCTTCCCACACCACAGACCGAACTTTTGGGCTCGGTATGGGCTCGTCGTCATAGAACTGTTCAATTGCTTGGGTTAAAAAAAAAACTTCTCAACAGCGCCCTCCCGGACATACAATTTACAATAGAGGAAGAAGATAACAACCAGCTGGAACATGTAATTCTGACTTCGTTTTCCTTGATTTTACTGTGCCTATCTCAAGGAGAAATGATTGAGTACTCAGACAGGCTGAATCGCTGTCGGCATCCATGTGAAGGTTTTGTGTTTTTTTTACGGAAACTCTCCAATAACTTTATATGACCAACAGTATTTACTTCTTTCGCCAACCGAAAACCGTAGTTTGGGTGCAGAGTAAGAAAACGTAGGTACATAGACAACATGTGATTATTCATGCACTCTTCGGCCAATCATTACCCCGGCGAAGGCAAGCCAATGAGAATCCGGTTTTTCGACCGTCGCAAGCGACAGAGTGTGTTCAAGGCAATTTTTCTTTTTGGGAAGATAGCCACCTACAATGAACCATGCTGTAGACGAGCTGGATCAACACGAAAGGTAGATGAGAGCACAGCACACGTTATTTGGGCGTGCATATATAGCAAATGCCACACGTGTGGGGTTATGGTGCACACCTAGGTGTAGGCTCAGATTATTATTATTATTGTAAGACAAAGGCAAGTAGGACCTCTAAAGAGTCTTGCTCATTCTCTTAATCTGCGACATAACATTGTTTTAATACGCATCTCTTCTCGAAGGACATGTTTTTTTTTGCCCGAAGATGATCTAATTGAGTTTTTGTGGAACTGTTCTTCATAACTTGAAGATTGTAATATACAAAATTTAATGGCACCATACATTTCGTGAGAGCTCCTCAGTTGCAATCACTCATTGCGTTAAGGTCCACGAA